TCACTCAATAAAATTCCACCCGCTTCTAATTTTGTGCTTATTGTTTTCTCAGTATTGGCAGCGTCTTTTTTCCTTTATCTGTATAAAGTCAATAAATGACTCTTTGACTTCTACTTTTCTTGTCTCTTCTTCTTCAATTGCTCATGATGGGCTAAATCAGGTGTGGTGTTACTATTATCCATAGTATTTGTTTCTACGAATTGCTGACAAACAATAATTTCGCACATGTGAAGTCATGAGATTTATAAACTCATTTTGGATTTCAGGAGAAAGATAAGATGTTGACGTTTGCTTGTTTTTAATACGCTCTAAATGCTCTCTCATTACTGGATCATACTTTGCTAATAACTGCGAGAGTGACAGGAAATTTCCAGGGTTTTTGTTTGAGGTTATGTCCTCAGTATGACCACGAAATGCAAGATTCTGAGAAGCTAAATATTGTGTACAATACTGCAATTGTCGCAATACATCTCTCCATTTATTTTTTCTTGATGAATTTGCCTTTACAGCTCTTCACCAATGCCACTTTGAAGACGAATTCGGCGCTCAGTTTCTTTCCAAGCAGCAAATGACTCACGATGACTGTTACTATTTTCATGGGCATTTAACTTTTCAATTTTTTTCCAATTAGAGAATCAACCCTGTGTTTTGAAAGCAGACCGACTATCGGATGTCATACATGTAGATGAAAAAAGAAGACAACGAAAACAGTATGCCGCTTTATGTTGAGGTGAATATACCAACTAGGAACGATTGACCTCTTATCCATTCAGAAGACGTCGTTTCAACCAAAATGCAGTCATAGAACGCCCATCTTTGGCATCAAATGGACCTTTTTTATGTTGAAATTCATGTGCTCCAACTTTAACAATCTCTGTGCGATGTGCATGTGTTACAACTGTAGAGCCTGGTGTATCAAACTTCATAAATCCAATATCCCTGTGTGTTAAAATATTTATTAGGTCATCCTCTTTTAACTTAGCAACACTATTCTGTGGATTTGTTTCTGACAAAGTGGAATCCTCTTGTTTATTATTATTGTAGCTTTCAACAAGACAGAGAACAGTTTCTTCATTGTTTTATTTTTTCAAATGAAATAGCATGTTCACAATCTTGCACTTTGCTGCCATCAAAAGGAACAGATGCTGGCTTACTGGTCATCACTTTTAGCAAGGAAGACTCTCATCAATTTGCTTGACTCCACCATCGAAACTGCAAATTGTGTCCCTGTGCCCCACTTTCTTTTTTCGACATAATGGGCTAAAAGAATAAATTAATAAATACTGACTACACTGTTTAGTTGCAACATGCAAATTGTCAGATGAAAGGAAGCATTCTACTTTTCTAAGTTCCTAACCACAAATTATACAATCATAATTGCAACTCAGGACTAGTTAGGCACATCTGGACCTAGTTTCATTTTAACTGCCATTATTTAGACCACCCATACTCATGTTAATGAATGTGACACAACAGTAAGAAAATCAATGCAGAAGAGTGTATATGCTGGTAAATACTACAATCAACAAATAGAATATCAAAAGAAACTTGTTAATGAACTTGTTTGTTTGTGTTTAATCACAAAGCTACACAGTGGGCTATCTGTGCTGTGCCCATCACTCGTATCAAAACCAGGGTTTTAGCGTTATAATTCCGCAGACTTACCGCTGGGTCATTGGGTGGGGGAAACTAGTGAGTTTTATGTATAAATAAGAATACTAGTTGTTGTCAGTAAAGCTCCCTGCCATAACAATATAGTTCACGTCTGGTGTTAGATCCAGGCGGTCACACTGTGCTGACCGACCCACAATACAATGGACATTTTTCAAGTGACGACACCATTATCCTTTGTGCTGGTATTGTTCATTGCTGGTTTGAAGAGTATGAGGAGAAATTCCACCATCTTCCCTAACCCTCTCCCCTATCCCCAGTTTTTAATACAAGTAATAATCTGTAAAACATATCAGAACGAGCTGTCAAAGTACGCACTCTTTTACCTTCATCCCCGACAGATCTCGAGATAATATTGCTTAAGAAGTGTGACAATTGAACAAAATGTTTTGCAGAAACTAACTGAGCCTGTTTGAAAATGGGTGGTAGTTAAAGTTCGCGATGGTCGAACGCACTTTTAGAACAGGTTCTTTTTTGTTTGTTTGTTGTTTTTTGCCAGGTAGTAAACTAATTTTTCGAGGGTAATCATGATACTTCTGTCAATTATTAATGCTCTCACGATTTTCATTCAAGTTTGTAGTCTTAAATTAATATAGTTTACTATAAAAGATTACTGTAAAAAGTAGTAGGTCGTCAATAAATTAATGTCGCTTTTTTTAGATGAAAAAACCCGAACAACTTATCCATCAAAACAAAACATTTATTAAATGAAATAGTCTATATTATTATCGATGATGCTTTTCCATCTTACAACCAGGTTGTTAATGCCCTGATTAAAGAAATCACTTGGCTTTGAAGCAAAAAAACGTGTCGATGTCCTCTTTAATATCTTTCACATTTGCATACGTTTTCCCATTAAGATGGTGTTGCAGCGAACGAAAAAAATGGTAATCTGATGCATATCTCGATAATATGGTGGGTGGGGGAGAACTTCTCAACACAACTCCACAACCTTGTGTTGAGTCAAACGTGCCACATGTGGACGTGCATTGTCGTGGAGAAAAACACCTTTCCGATTGAAGGACGTTTCTTATGAAGGGCTTGATTTAAACGTTCGAGTTGCTGACTATAGATCTCTGCATTGACAGTTTGTTGTGGATTGAGGAGTTTGAAATGAATTACTCCTTTGATGTCCCACCAAATGCAAAGCATCACTTTTTGCGGATGGAGTCCAGGTTTTGGGGTTGGACGTCGTTTTTGTCTAGGACTGAACCATTATTTTTGGCTTTTAATATTCACATAGAGAATCCATTTTTCATCATCGGTGACAATTCTGTCCAAAAATTATTCACGCGCATTACACGCCAGAAGAGACGAAGCAACGTCCACATGTTGGAAACGATGATCATCGGAGAGTTCGTGAGATACCTAAACACCTTCTTTATGGAGTTTTCTCACATTCCTTAGCTGTTTACGTATTGTTTCATAAGAGACGTGCAAGTTCAGGACCATTTCACGAGTATGTTGCCTTGGGTTGGACTCAACAAGCGTCTTCAGAGCATCAATATCAATTCCAACATATCGGCCCCTGCCGTTACAGTTTTTAAGGCTAAAGTCAATTGAAATACATTTGCTGAACCATCGTTGACACTTACGAACGTTCAAAACATTTCCATAAAATCCAACCCCCCCCCCCAGTAGCACAGCGGTATGTCTGTGGACTTACAACGTTAGAATCCGGGTTTCGATACCCGTGATGGATAGAGCACAGATAGCCCATTGTGTAGCTTTGTGCTTAACTTCAACAACAAACAATCCATAAACTCCTTTGATATTCTTTGTTGCTACAGTGGCGTTGTTTCCCTTCTTGTATTCAAACAACATTACATGCCGAATGTGTGTCTCATCGTGTGCTGTCACTATAAGGGATTAATAGTATACTAAACTTTACACATTATATAGGCTACACTAACGTGACATTTAGACGATTCATTTAACTATTATATGTGATGTACGTTTTTTTTTGGGAGGTAATGAAAGTGTTCCTAAACTCGACATTAATTTCTTGAATTAATTAATTTCTAATACTCGAAAGAATGTCTGGTAAATTATTTCTATTTTGTAGTTTTAGTCTAATGTTACTCTATTAAAAGTTTATAATTTAAAAATCTAATTAAAAAGAGTTTACAGGTTTTACTGTTTTATTTTTTTAATTATCGATATTATATTGTATTTTTTTTTTTATTAATATGAAGATGTTTGAACTTGAAATATAATGTAAATACAAATAAACTAAACACGGCTCATACAAATGTTCGCCCTCTAGCGAGGTTTGTTTAACATATAAGTTTTTATCATTGGGTTCTCTAGTTTTATTACTGTTGAACTTAATAGTGTCGGGTTCTTATATTGAAGTGAAACTAAATTTTACGTTTGAGTGTTTTTACTATGGCATTCCAGCATCAGCCTGGGGTAGCTATAGAGTGCTTAAGCGTAAGAAAATTTTATATTATTTTGTGTAATTAAACCATATTTCTGATTATACTAGTTATACTAATTTTTACTAACTTGTATTTGTATTGTAAATATAATGTAAGTCGCAGGCTAACTTGTAGTTGTAACTTGTGACATATATGAGTTATAGTTATACTTATAGTAATACTAGTTGTTCTGTTCTAGTCTAAATTAGCAAATACTAGAATAGTACTAAACTGGTTTTATACAACTATAAATACGTACTACTTGCTGCTGATTAGCTTAGTCCAAACTTGTAATAAGTAGGTAGTACAGAGAACTTCATCATTGGCATTTTCTTCCTGTTCAACACTATGTCTGCATGTGTGTGCATGCATATTATATATACAATACATATCTTGCTAATTAATTATTTAGAATATTTTAGTTTTACTGTTTCAGATTCCAATTAAATTATCAAAAGAAGCAGGTGTAGATGCTGAAGGCAGATCAGTTATGAAATGTGGTTTTAAGATTGGAGGTGGTATAGACCAAGACTATCATAAGAGTCCCCAAGGGTATACAGATAATGTAAGTCTAAAGTCATTGGAATAAGATGAAATATGTGTGAAACTGAAAATATTTTATTGTTATGTACACATTTTATGAAGCTGTTTTAATAATGGAAATTAGGTATCCTTTATTTTTTAGGATTTTACAAATATTTTCAGAGAAGTTTAATTTAAGAAATACAAAATTATTTACCATACCCATTTTAATCAAATAGGATAAAAGTCAAAACTGTTTACCAAAAAGTTGATCATAACAAGGAAACTTCTGTAGCTATTTTTGTTTGTTTTTTAACTTACTTGGTGTGAAGCCAGTATTCTATTTGTTAAAAATGATGTTTTTAAATAGTGGAAGACAACACAAATATATGTTTATTCCCAAAGATAACTAATATCATTAAATAGATTCTGAAGTGATACTTTTAGCATGATTCTAAATTTGATTTTTTGGCAATATATATCAGGATTAACTTTGTATTCTAAACCCAATTTTTTTTTTTAGTTTTTTGTTGACATTAGATGTATTTATGATGTTGAAACAATACCAATTTTGCAAATTAAATTCTTAGATGTCAAAGAAGTAAGACTTGTATTGAAGTGCCAGAAAGCCTTTGATCAGGATCTGGACAAAAGGTTACTAGGAAGTGAAGTTTTTATTGAATTGTTGAAAAAGTTCATAATGTAGGTTTAGAAAATTGATTCTATATTAGTAGTGTAATGATAAAAGGGCATTATTCTAATTGGACTTGTGTCACTAGTGGGAACTCTCATGGGTTTGTTGTGAAACGTTTTTAACATTGATGTAAAAATTAATGGGCCAGTGTGATTTCCAAGTACGTTGATGATACTAAAATGGAAAGTAAAACTGAAGCTGTTTGAAAATGTTTCTTTTAATTATGAAAACTGAATATGCCAAATGAGTGGATAAAAACTTTGAAAATGTTACAATGATGTATTAGATTACAGAAATTTGGAAAGAGCTGGTGTTCTGAAGCAAATGAAGAATTTTGGCATAAGTGCTGATAAAAGCTTAACCTTTTATGTTTCTCTGTGATGAAAAGTACTACCAGAGTTTTAGGATCTATTAACTTTTATAGGGAGAAGATTATCTTTTATAAATAAGACTTTATGAGACCACTTTAGAATACAAAGATTAATTTTGTTCTTTTTGTAGAAAGGGAATTAACACCATGGAAAGTGTAAATAAATTATTTCAAGAACGATTATTAGTTTAAAAAATTATGCCATAAGTAGAAGTTTAAAACTCTTCAATTGTAGGAGGTAGAAAATTCAAGTGTTTCAAACATTTACAGAATCAGTTAATCAGCCAATTTGGCGAGGAGGTTAAGTTATGGAATGATAATATTAGGAGCAAAAAGCTTAAATGTTAAGAACAACAAGTCCAAAGGTAGGTTTTGGGATTTAATACCTGGACTTATTTGGCAGAAATGGTTTCCTTTATTCAAATGTTTCAGGCTTTAAAAGCAATTGAATGTGAAAGACAACATTTTATCATAGGCTATTAAGCCATTTGGTTGATAAAACACTGAAAAGGTGGCCCCAATGTACTAATTGACACTTGTCACTATGCTTGTTCTGTGTCTTTAATAATTCCATAGCAATGTATCTCATGATCTGAAGGGAAACCTTGGGATCAAAATATGGCCTCATGACAACAAAGAAGCTTTGAAATATTATAATTCACTTTTATTTTTGGCATGTTTGCTCAGAGCTAGAACCTTTTGTTTTAAATATACTATAGTGAGCTTAAAACCATAAATCTCTAAAAATACAAAAATAAGACAGAATGCTTTTAATTAAACACTAGTTTGTAGCTAAGTTATTTACTATATCCATGTTGTATCAGTCATAATTGACCTGTATGACAGGAGACTTAGAAGATTATAGAAAATAAGAAAGTTGGTGAAACAGGAAATTAGGACATCAAAATGAATGTATGAGAAAAATTTGGCTGAAAATGTAAAAATTACCAATAAGGATTTCTTTAAATACATTAAGGGGAAACAAAATGTTAGGATAGGAATAGGACGCTTGAGGGATGATAAAAGAAGGCTAGTATCTGATGATTGAGATGGCTGGGTTATTAAATTTTACTTTTTTCTTTGGCTTTTACCTATGAAGATTTAAGCAGTATTCCACATCTTGATCAGTTGATAGATGGAAACAAGATCACTGCATTAATTCTGAGCTGGTTAAGAAAAAATTGGGAAGTTTAAAAATGTAAGGCTCCTGGGACAGATATTTCCCCAGGGGTTTTGCTAGTATTTTTTGTCAGTCCTTGAATAGTGAATAGGTACCAGAGGATTGGAAGTTAGCTAATATAACTCCTCTTTTGAGGGGAGGTGATAAAAAATTGTCCCAGTAATTATAGACCCATTAGTCTCACATCAGTTGTGGGAAACATTTTGGAAAGTCTGTTAAAAGATACTTTGCAAAGTCATTTAA